GAGAGTGCTCAACAAGGCGAAAGCCGAGGAGCGTGATACCCAATGCTGTAGACAGCAAGCTGTTTCGGCCATAAAGGCCTCATCGGTACAGCTACGAGCTAAATAGGCCGAGCTACCAGCCGTGGTGCAAAGGAGGCGCCACAGACATTAAGATAGCTCGTCGCTCTAGCGCCAGAGTGCTCAAACTACAAAAAGTAGCGGGCATTGCGCGATGCAGCAGCACTAGAGCAGCCTACTATGTATGTATGTATGTATGTCTCCAATTTCACTTCAAGGTACCAGTGCATCTAGTGTCTGCTTTTATCAAAGCAGCGTGCTGTCTATACTGGTTACCCCCAGCAAGTGTAGGGTGTGCATAGGTAACTGTCTTGGCCGTCCTATTCCGATGTACTCCGTGTGGTGTAGACCAGGTGTGCATTGGGGGGTCGATTCACATGGCTTCGCCAGTTGTGTGGATTAGACAGTTATCTGGCGCTTGTCTTGTTCTGATTCAATCAGAATCAGGTCCGCTATCGTTGCTATAAAGAGAAAATCTGTGGGTGCACATCCAGTGCATTTGCAGATTTGCGTGCTTCTCTTGTGACGGGCGTATACATGGTACATGGTGTGTGTGTGTGTGAAGGGCATTCGTGTATCCGTGTGTGTGTGTGCGCGCACGTGTGTGCGTGTGTGTATGTGTGTGTGTGTGTGTGTGTGTGTGTATGTGTGTGTGTGTTTGTGTGTGTATCTGCGAGCATCATCAGACCGTTGAAGTCGAGCTCTGCTGTTGACTTCAGGTGGAAGTTAGGTCCAGTCCAAATAGATGTTTTTAAACGAACACACACGTCTTGCTTCTGCGTTTGCATTCTGTTATTTTTGTTTTGCAGGTGCTGGTTTTTATGGCGATATTGTGAAATATTACGGCATTCAAGCGACAGATAGTGAGGGCTTTAGCCTGCGACCTTTCTTTGATGGCTGCAGCGACTTCATTGCCTCTGCACTTGCAGACAATGGCAAAGTGCTTGTTCACTGTAGAGAAGGTAATTATTATGTTTGTGTGTGCGTGTGTATGCTTGTGTGTGTATTTGTGTGTGGGGGGGGGGGGGGGCGTGTGTGTGGGGGGGGGGGGGAGTGCATGTGTGTGCATGTGTGTGCGTGTGTGTGCGCATGTGTATGTGTGTGTGTGTGGGGGGGGGGGGGTGCAAGTATTACCTTCACTGGGGGGCAGGGGTAACTGCAGTTGGATCCCGGGACGGAGACCCTGATTCCTTTTATCCTTTTTCTGCACCTTGGCCTCACCCACTTACTGAGGTGTGGTGAGTCCATAAGTGGGAACATTTCCAAGTCCACCCATAATTTGGGGATTTCAGCGGGTGTCGGCCGTTGGGCGGTTCAATAGCCAGTTGAGTCATCTTTCCAAGATTTCTTTTGAGTCTCTCTCCCCTCTCCCTAGGGGAGACCCACGTGACCAGTTATGGCAGTGAGCAAGTACAAGTACAAGTATGTGTGTGTGTGTGTTTGTGCGTGTGAGAGTGAGTGTGTGTGTGCGTGTGTGTGTGTGTGTGTGTGTGTGTGTGCAATCTCGCAATCCAGCGGATAAAGCGGCACGATACTTGTCCGCGGTGGTCACGCAGCGCGGGGGGGCAACGTCCCACATCGTTGACGTCTTGTAACGTGGATGCGCAGAAATCCGATTGATCATGCTCGGCCACCGCCTTACTCCGCAGCTTGCCGACATTAAATCGGCGCCCCCGACTCGCTCCACGTCGGGCAACCCCCACCGGGCGAGGCGGGAACTCAAAGACTATACAAAGCAGCTGGTGGTCACTGCCACACTCAGCACCGCGAACAACGCGCACGTCCCTGCAAAATCGCCAATGATCCTGACGCATCAAGATATAGTCAATGCAGTGCCACTGCAGAGAGCCGGGGTGCTGCCACGTCCGCTTGAAGATATCCCGCTTGGGGAACCAGGTGTTGCAGATCCACAAATTATGTATTGCTGCAAACGACAGTAGCTCATCTCCAGAGGAATTCAACTGTCCAAAACCATGCAAGCCGCGCACACCACTCCAGCCATCGTCAGCTGTTCCTGAACCCACACGGGCGGGTTCTCCAAGCAGAATACAGCAGTCCCTGTCAGGAACGCCAGCTATTACCTCCTGCAACTGTTCGTAAAACTGATTTTTGCTGGCACGCGGAGCTGCATAAGTCGGAGCATACGCACTGACTACCGTCACCCATGCGACTTCTCCCCCACGCAGGGCGAATTTGAGACGTGCAGTGACAAGACGAGGGCCCACAGCCCGCCAGACCGAACCACCATTCCTCCACGCGTCTGTTGCAAATTTATTGAGTGCCAGGGCGACTCCTTCTCCTTGTCTGTTGCCCGGAGCTCCATCGCCAGGCACGGGGCGACCCGAACACAAGATAGTAGTTGCCCAAGCCTCCAGGACCTGCGGTGCTCTTCGGAGGTCTGTATTCTCCAATCCACATCTGCTGATGCACACCAAGCGGTGCG